CCTCCTCACCAAATATCAAATGTGCAAAACCAGCACATCATTTTGCACAGATTTCTATCATATAGAATATTAACCTCTGATTGATTACATTTGAGTAAAAATGATCACACGCTAAATTATACTCAAGAAACTTACACTTCAGTAAAATCAAGGTAAACCCTCAGTTAGTTCTAAGACTTTGTTATTGCATTCACCATAAAGTGGTGCCTCGGGGGCTGATGATATAAAATGCAAGCTGGCATGCTTGAATTTTTTTCTTCTCAATTTGTCCACCTGTGGGAGTCCTAGTGTTATTGCTTTTCCTTGGAAGTGGTTAAAGGTTGTAAGTATTACGAGCATACTTGTCTGCAGTCTGTTCTAAAACTACTGTTGTGCCAAACTTGCATGCACTCATGTTTGACTAATTCCAGAGTTATTACTACAGAAAGCAGTGAAGCGTTGCTGATGTTATAGGAAATATAAATTATTTATATATATATATGTGTGTGTGTGTGTTTTTTAAATATATATATGTGAGAGTATATGTGTATATATATATATGCACATTTTGGCATATTGGTAGCACTGAACTAGAGTCCAACAGGGAACAAACTGCAATGTCTGCTGCTGGCTTGATTCACATTCCACCTTTCTTGCTTGGTTCTCGGGTTCATCAGCATTCCTGGTGCCTCATCAGAAGTGTGTTAAGTATTTAGAGTACACAGTTCATAAAACAGGCTTGAAAATACTCCACTGGAGTTGCTAGATTACAGCAGTTGCTGCCAGAGCTTTTGAGGACAAAACATTTTGAAGTGATTGGTATGTACACGTGCACACATACACATCCTATACTATTGGAGCAATCAAAGCTCCCAGTATTTCAGAGCACATTAGAAGCATAGAATTGGAGCTATCTCATGGTTTTTTCCAACTGCTTTGAAGCCATTAACATATTTATCCTTAGCCTGTGAGCTTAGACAGCAGAATTTAAACTATACACAAATCCTACATTGCATGTTGCAGTAATGTACAGGCCAACAACAAATCAACTTATCTGCCTGTGTAGGTAGTGTAGAAATAAAAGCTACCCTGGTCTCAGAACAGGACAGCTATGTTGGCCAAAGCAACTCCAAACCAAAAGTTTGGTGTTGCTGGCTGGGGCATGTCTGTAGATGAATCCAAGGCCACTGTGCTGCTGCTGTCCCAGGGAGCAGTGGTGATGTGGGGGATTTAGCATTGTTCCTACTGCCTTCACATCTGAGGTTCAAAATAATTTCCATAGACACAATGCTTGAGCCACTTCTTGAAATGCATCCCTCCTCTCTTTTGGCCTTTCTTGGAAACTCTCCCACCTCCTGCACGACTCTGCTCTGTTATTGTGGCCTTAGCAGTATGGAGTAGATAAAAGCACAGTAGGAAAAGGAATTGATTCCATTACTATGTTTTCTCACAACTGGGTGAGACTGAGAAAAAGAAAACACAGGCTGAGAACCATAAACAGTGCAGTGGATTTCTATGGGTTCTGTGTACAGATCCGATTTTTACCAGGAGAGCGCTGAAATGATCGTCTTTGCTTGTGGGCAAAAAAATCTTTGCTTGTGGGAATGTGAGCCTGCACAGTTCCGGGTCATTGGCAGGATACCATCATTCAACAGTAGTGCTGACTTATTGCTCTACTTAGTGATGCACAGATATTTCTAGAGTGCCCATCAGCAGGATGCTGAAGAGGGAACCTCTCACTTAGCATTTCAGTCTGAGACTGTTCCTGACAGAAAGGATGACTTCTAAGATGATTTTGAATGAACAAGTGATTAAGGAAAAATTCTAACATTTTACTATGCAACCAAGGCTGGCATAGTGAAAACAATAATTTAATAGGCTTCAGTTTTATCAGTATCTTTCCTTTCTGCACTACCATATTACTCAAAAAAAAAAAAAAAAAAAAGAGGAAATATAAAAACCAGCTCTTTCTAAAAGGTTGGAGGCCCACTAGATAAGGCATAACAAGGCTGAGGGCTGAGATCAAGTTATCTCAACAGGTTACTGTATGTCAGCTGATCCACAATAATTCTGTGTGCACATGGTCTTAATCTAAGACATGAAAAATAATGTGACAAAGACAAATGAAAAATAATGTTATCTTGAAGTGGAGGAGGTGTGCAGTGAGTCAAATTCCTGCATGATAATGCGAGGGCTTAGAAAACCCCCTATACATAGAAAGAAAAAGAAAACCCCCTATACATAGAAAGAAAACACCCTACATAGAAAGGGGCTTATTGCCGCATCATGTTTTGTTCCGTGGTTCTATAGGGCTGTGCACAATGAGGTTGTATTTCGTATAATGTTTGACGTGATGCCTAGAAGTCAAACTTAAATATGGATATAATAATCAGGAAGTCTTCAATCTGAAACACAGATTTGGTTCCTTGTTTTATGGAGGGGTTACAGAGGTGCCAGAGGTTCTGGGGAAGTGTGGAAAAAATTAAGCGTATTCTTTAAAAATGGAGGTTTTTGTGGTTTCAGATACACAAATGTGTTACAAATGAACACAAAAAAATCATTTTAATATGTTACCAGCTTTTAGGGTGATATTTGCTCTTGCTTCTGCATGCTTGGTATCTGTGCACAATATTTCTGTACAAACATAGAAAAGTCAGGAAAACTTGGGGTTTTTTGCTAGAAGGTATATATCTATAAAGAAAGGCTGCAAGTCTGCTTTCAAGTCTGCAAAGCATTCATTGCACTTGCCAATACCTGGCCATTTGCAAATGATAACTTGGCTGCAGCCCCACATTCTCTAGCTTTGGAAAATCTGCTGACATATGTGCTGTGTGTGCCACTTCTTTTTACCCCCACCACTTCTATTCACTTTTAAACTGTTTTGTTTCCTTTGTCATTTTTTTAAAATGTCTAAAATTATATATGTATATGCATATATATAGAAAATAAGAAAACTGGTGTATAAAGTTTAGGTTTATAGTATAATAATAGTATAATTATAAATCACGGTAAAATTAGTCAGATTTCTTTAATCCTCAGAGCCTTTGATTTCTTGAAAGTACTATGAAAAGTTGCATACACCATTATCATTACATGCTGGTTTTTTGCATTTCAAAAATTAGTAAAAGAGGAGATTGCTTTAAAGCAGGACAATGTTACATTTCTTTCTATATATTTCTGTGTAAAGAGAGTAAGCATATGAATGAAACAAATAAGCTACTGCATCCATGGGAAAAAAATGGGTGGCATTTATTCTGAGTCTAGTTGAAACAGCTGAAATTAAGAAGAGCTACAGTTACCTCTCCAAGATAAGTGGGAAATTGCTATGTATCTCGCACCAGAGGCAAAAGAATTGATAAGGTGGAGCCATATTGACATTCTATAGATATGGAAAAATAGGACCAGCAAATGGAGAAATATTAAAACAATCCACAAGGGAAAAACAGAGGAATGTTTAGATCATTGTTCAATCAACTGAGCCAACAAAATAATATTTTTCAGACTCATTCTACAAATCTCATCAGGGAACAGTCCTTTAGTTGTTTCAAAAGAAGTCATAGCTGAGGAGCTGATAGTGTCGTGCCAAAATATTGAAGGAACTGCAGAAGTGTTCAGCAGCTGCTCAGCTGCGTAACTGCAGTATGCAAGCACTGTTGGAAAACAAAGATTTTAAAAAAGAGAATAAAATAAAGTGGACGAACTCTGGAGTTCTTTGAGTGGGGAACTTCCAGAGACAAGGAGCTGAGGAATATGCTTATTGCAGGAAGCAGTGCCAGGGTAGTAAGACAAAGAGAGAGTAGACACAAGGGCTCCACTAGAAAGGTGAAACTGGTTCTGGAAGATTGGATGTGGATGACCAAGACATACAAAGTAAAATATTTCATTGTGTTTCATCTGGTCATGTAAAAACTTCATGAAGTTTTTTACATTTAAAGAAGGAAGGATATACTAGTTCCAGGAAGATGAAATTTCACATAGAATTAACAATTATTGTGAATATATTCCTAATCTCATACCGTGCAGTGCTTTTCTTTTTTTCTCCTCCGTGTAACAAATGCCCTTACTGAAGAGTAGAATTGATTTTATAGGAGAAAAAAAACCCAAAACATTACAAAGCCCCTAAGTTAACTTTAATAGACATTAAAAGACTTTATTTAAATGCAGGTGTCCTGTTAGAGTGGACATTTTAATAATTAAAAGTCAATAAAAATGAAAACATGCCGATATGACAATAATTTGGAAAATCTACTGCCCTGGTGCCAAGTATTGGTATGCATGGGAAGTCCCCTTAGCCCTAAGAGCACTGAAACACAGGAGTTTATAAGCAAATCCCAGCAAAAAAAATGAGGTTTTGGCCTTAGTGATAACAATACCAGGTCCCTGTGTCAGCAAATGCCTTTTCCTGCTCTCTGGCTCTGAACAGGGAAGTCCTTGTTAATCAGCCAGTGTGATCTTGGCTTAATGATTCAGAACCACTATAAAGTGATGCCAAAAATCTCTCCAAGAGAAAAAAAAAAATCTCCTTCTTTGTTATAATTTGTGAAGACTCTAAGTATGAATGAGGTTTGAAAAAAGAAAAAGCAGGGCTGGTACTTGGCTTTTATGGCCAGAAAATTCCTGTATCTCAAGTGACACTGAAAGGCTTTCTGTTTTGAAAGTCTAAAAGGAAAATTTTTGTTTAATCCTCATGGAGGTGAGGGAGACGACAAAGACAGAAACCTTGAGCTTTCCTCCATCTTCCCCCATAGTCATCTTGATCTAAATCTCTTTGAAAAGGAGAGAGCTCAATTTGGTGAAGTAACTCAGAATATCAATTATCCTTCAAAAACATGTCCTAGACTTCCTAAGCTGTCAGAAGGTTTGTCCCTGCCACACACCAAAGAAATTACAACTGAGGAGGGAAGATGTTAGAAATCTTCCCCTGTATGACACTGTCTCAATTTCTTCTAAAACAACTTTTAATTAGTTCTTTTTCTTCTTTCTCTCTTTTTTTTTTTTTTTTTTAATATTTTTTTAAAACTATGCAGCACCAGGGAAAAATTGGAGTTAAATTTAATGTTGGGACGGATGACATCGCCATCGAAGAGATGAACGCCATCATTAACGATGGGAAGTACCACGTGGTTCGCTTCACAAGGAGTGGTGGCAATGCCACCCTACAGGTGGACAACTGGCCCGTCATCGAGCGTTACCCAGCAGGTAAGGCCTCACACAAACACCTGGCACTAAGAGGGTGGGGATGCCTGGAGTTTGCCTCGTTTTGCTCCTCTCCTATTGCAATATCAGCTCCTTTGAAGTGTTTTAGTAGCTGCAGAAGTAGTTAAAAGAATTCTGAGCAATATGGTTTATGATGATGGCATTTCCTAAGTGAGTTTAAAAGCCCAAATTCAAGTTATTACTGGAAGTGGAAAAATGCAGTTATTGAGGCATGAAGTAGTAGTTTTGTTTCTTGCTATCATTTGTTTTTATTGCATTTTTGGTTTAGGCGGGAGAAAAAAAAAGGCTTTGACAAAAGCTACACAGTTTAAAGTGACTCACAAGTCTATCCCCAGGTGATGGGGTGAAACATTTATTGAGGAAAAGGTTGTCTGTGTTCTTTTGATTCCAAGATTACAGCAATCTGAAGCTTATAAATTTAGCAGAAGTCTTCCAGCAGACACAAACCAAACGGCATCGCAGTTATCAATTGTACAGCCAAGCACCCAAACTGAGGTGCCTTAACTTCAAATGCAAACTACAAGATATTACTTATGCAGATGATGCTGGTTACTTGAAGAGGACCACTAGTATGACGGCAGAGCTGCCTTGAGCAGGCCCATATTTAATTTTATGCACATGCCACATGCTGAGGATTACTATGCTACTAATTTTATTCATTTTTAAAGGCAACAGGTTTTTCAGATACACAATCCCTTTCTTATTGAGTAGGACTACTGAGTCATTAATGGTAACTTATGCATCTGCTTGTTATCTCCTAACAGTTGCTCTGTATGTTTATATTAAGCAAAAGGCAGCAAATCTAGAGGTGTAAATGAAGGCAAATATGCAAACTATAATGCCTACTGCGTAAATGACAGCTCTGATTTATCAGTTTAAAAGTAGAAAATTCTGCATTTTGGGGGGTGAAGTGCAGCAGGAGAGTGTGTTTCACTAGTAAGGAATGCATAAGCCATTCCATGGATTAATTATTAGCATTCAGGATGGGGTTTTTTGTTATTGTTGTTGCCATTTCAGTTGTAATCCAGCTATTTACTTGACTTTTTAAAAAATAAAAATAATTTTTAAAAAATCCACACGTGAAATATAACCCTTCAGATAACTTCTAAAAAATCCACACATGAAATATAACCCTTCAGATAATTTCTTGGAAATAATTCAGAATATATGAATTAATGGAAGTATGTATTGGGAAAGAAACTATGTATAGCAGAAGTAGTTAAAAAACCCACCTGAATGACAGCTCTGGCAACTGGAGCCATTAATAGTTTCTAAGTTAGAGACGCCTATGAGCAGTGATAAATTCTTGAGGGAAAGGGAGACACTGAAATACACTCATTGATCTTTCAGATATTCCTGTTTCCCCTGTGGCCCTCTGGCTTTCTAATTTTGCAGTATTTGGTAAATGGCTGCTGAAATAAGGTGTAAGCTGAGGAAGACTTGTCATCGTTTGTGTTCAAGACCTATTCAGCACAAAGGGAAAAATAGGCTTGAGGTGGTTTTTTTGTTTGTTTGTTTGTTTTTGTGGTTTTTTTTGGTTTGGTTTGGTTTGGTTTTTTGTTTTTTTTTTTTTTGTTTTTTTTTTGGTTTTTACCTAAATGATGAGCATGAATTCACCACCCCCAAGCTCAGGAGTGATGCATCCCAACAAAGAGGAAGTCAGGCAAATATGCCAGGAGGTCTATGTGGATGAACAACAAGCTCCTGGGCAGGCTCAAACACAAAAAGAAGCCTTGAATTCTGAAGCTAGTGGCACATAGAATTTGTTTATACTGAACAAGTATCAATTTAGAAACCTTAGGATGGGATTGATGGAGAGGAAGAAGGTTGGATGTTTTCTTTGAAAAAAGAAAACAAATAATTAGATCTTCTTGAGCTTCCATGAATAATCTGTGTGCAGGCTGCATTTCAAGGCATTCTTGGTTGCTTCAGTAGCTGTGGTACAGAATACCTTGGCTTGTTTTATTGCTGGATCTTCTAAGACTGCTGTTGGCCTGTAATTTTCTTTGACTTTCCCATAGTAATATTTTATGCCTCCTGTATGCCATAGTATTGCTTTTGGCTGCTATCCTCCCCCTTTTCACCTTCCATCTCTTCTCTCTTCTCAGAGACCATCTAACCACACCCTTCTCTTCTCTTTCTATGCTTCTCTATCAGGTTTGCCAATCTTGTTTTGGGTTTTTTTAATTAATAATGAAGCCAAGATTAGGCAGCTTAATTAGTAAAGTTGCTATACTTACATATGCTGGATTATTTTTTTTTTCAAAGATAAAATTAAATAATCAGTTGGTTGTCTAAAGCATACCAACTGATCAGGTCTTTATGAGGAAAGATTTTGCTAAGAATTACACTTCAGGTTGGGATGCCTGATTACAAGACATTGCTGGTTTGTGTTTGGTGTCTTAAAGTGCTAGATGAAAGTTTTCTAAGAGAAGTTTCTGGTCAGAGACTCAGGATTTTCCAGTTCCATTGCCTGTGTATCTTTCATCCAGCCCCATGTAACTGCTGTGGATAAGGATACCCAGGGCCCAGTAACAGCTGGTACCTTGCAAAAAAAAATCACATGGCAATGCTTCGCAGAGCTTCCATGGTGGCTTTGTGTGTTTTACCCAAGAGCTGCATAAAATGCTGAAGAGTGACCCTGGAAGATGAATATAATGTAGTGTGTCTCTTCTGTGACATCATTCTTGATCCCACTAGATTTGAGCTTGCTCTGGGCCAATGCATCTTCAATTTATATCTGAGTGGGTGTGAAATGAGAGAGCTGTAAAAGGAAAAGAGTCAGGGGTCAGTGGCAGACGATGATTGTCCTAGTTAAGGTGGACGGTTGCTTTTTGAAATATAGTTGGGAAAAATGTGTTTTAGTCCTAGACAAATGTGAAGATTTCAGTATCCTGAAATGGCTGCATGATTTTCAGAAGCAGAGGTTTAGATATACATATGTATGTTCTTCCAGACTACCATCAAAGTAATTTTTTACTCTGAAGTTTCTTTCTTGTCACTTCTCTGAATAAAATGCTAGTGCTATGAGGATGTACACTTTGATTTCTGCCCTTTATTAAATGTTGATCCTGTTTTCCTGTTTTCCCCATTTCTTGTGCATAGCCCTGTGACTGAGTGGCACACTGTAGTTTTTTCATAGTTGATTAAGATGCCCATATCTTCGCTTGATTTATTTATTCCATCTGCCATAATTAAATTCAGTGTTATGTCTCTTTGCTGAATTATCACCATCCCTCTGCACCTTCATGAAGAACTTTAGTATTTCATCTTGACCTCTTTTTCAGATAATGAATTCACATTAACTTATCTGGATACAGCCTAATTTATGATCATATTAAACAGGAATAGGAAAACTGCTGACTGTGCAGTCAGAGCTGCTAATCAATAAACTATCCCCATTTCCATGCAGACTCTTTCTACTCCTTGTGGCTTATCTTGTCTGCTTCACTGTCTAGTTTTAATTGCCCTTCCCAATGGTTCTGGCTGCTGTTGTGGTGATGGGACTGCTCCACAGTAGCAATTCCAGCTGCTTCTGTGAAGAGGCTGCTCTTGTCACTTCAGTTAGGTAACAATGCTAAACTGAAGTGTAAATTTCCTGAGGATGCATAAAACAAAGAACTTGTTAATTTGTGTCAAATTGAACTAAGAATTATGGTCAAATTAAAAAAAAAAAAAAAGAAAAAAAAAGAAAGGAAATTTAGTAATATCAAAATACTAATTTCAGTATTTTCTGAATAAAATGTTCTGACTTTTCATGTCAAGATTGCCCAGTGTTTATAGGAGCTTAGATAATCTGAGAACAAAGCATTTTGTTTAATTTGAAACAACATTTTCTTCCTTACCTGAAAGAAAATGTGTTTCAAATAAGATCAAATAGAGAGGAGGAAAAAAAACCACCAAATCTTTATCATAATAGTGCTCATAACTGTATCTTTTTATAAAGAAAATCACTTTTCCTAATTATCTGAATTTTGTTCCTTGGTAGTGAAGGGTGTACATTTTACTAGTCAGACAAAGTGTATCAAAACAAGGTAGAGGGCATTTTAAAGCGACAATAACCACCATTTATTGTGAAAGAATTTCAGAATCACTTTTCTGACACTGACTCTATGCTTTCTGTGGTCAAATGCAGTTTCCCCAATGAGAATTCTTTTAAAACAAACAGCACAGCTAATCATTTTAATAGTGAGGATTTTCTCTTCATAACTTCCGTTGTAAATCAGATTGATGTAGAATTTTCTATCTAGAAAAATGACCTATTAGATATTGTTTCAAAGCAGTTCAGTCTGCTGAGAATGCTCAGTATTCCCGGGACTCTGCAGCAGTTTGGAAGATACTGTCTGATGTAGGCAAATATCTAAAATGATGCCCTCCTAGTCATCCCTGGATCTCTGCTTAGCCTTAGAAAAGCTTCGTTGCAGCTGTCTTCACAAACCCCGTGGGTCAGGATGTGTCAGGGATGTCTGACAGACCAAGATCTGGCAGTATGAGCAGGTCACTCACATTGCTTGCAGAAAAGAGCTTATCCAAAACATTGCCAGACTACTGGAACAGATGTATCTCTGTGATTGGGAATTATAAATCATGTTGGGGCACAGACACCAAAGAAGAACCTGTGTGAGAGACCATGGATGTTGGCAGAAGAGCAAACTGACGTTATGCTAAGTGCTAGTACCTCTGGTATTGTCTTTAGGGACTCTCTCTGGATCTGGGGGATAAAGGTTGTTCCTACAGAACATCCATGGGCTAGGGGAATGGGACATGTAATTTAAATGTTTCTCTTGGTCCCTGTATTCTAGAAAATAGAAAAAGTGTCTGTCATCTTTTCATGGGATACACGTGACTTTAAGATAAATGTTAGGAGTCAACTATTACCATGTATCCTATTTAGGGTAAATAGCATCCATTTGTCTTGTATTTTTTTGTGTTCAGACTGACTATAAAATTAACAGATATTTGTGTCAGTACATTTGTTTCTC